CCAGGTCCACAGCACTGGGATGGCCTGCGGGGGCTGCTGAGGACATGTGTCCAGGCTGCTAGGTTGTGGTCAGGGCTTCCCGGAAGGAACTTGACTGTGAAGCAGAGTCCCTCCAGGAGGCCAGTTCCTCCTGCCTGAAGCTGTACACAACCCCCACCCTCTTTGGCAAGCTCTTATTGAGCTTGTGTTTATACAAGCCACAGATTCTTTTATTCATTGGGTAAATGTGTGCCAACTCTATGTCCTGAGTTGTCCCCTCAAGACTGGTAGCTGGGGACACAGCCACTGTCCATCTGGTATTCTCAACTGCTGGGTGGTCCTCTGGCACTCCTGAGGCAGAAGGACTCCCCTGCCAGCCCCACTGTGAGCCCATTTCCCCATTGGAAAAGGAAGGATGTCAAGGCTCTCTTAGCCCCCCAGTGCTACATTGTGACAGAATGCATAGGACAGGGAACCAAGAACAGGAAGACTGGGCACCTGGTGGCCCTGTGTCCAGGTCTCAGCTGCTGCTGGCTGCTGTGGGACCTTTGAGCAAGTTTCTCCCTCTCTGAACACAAGGCTTCTTGTCTATAAAATAAGTGTCAGAGTCTGGCATCTCCTCCCCTGTGTGGGCTTCAGGCTGCATGCAGCCTTACTCCTGACTTGGGTGATCCCCCACTGCCCTCCTTTCTGTTCGTACCCATGGGGCCTAACAAAGGGGTGATGAAGCCACATGAACCCTTTGCTCAATGGTCCTGGGATGCTCTGCCCCCACCCTGCAGTGGAGAAGGCTTTACCAGGGCCACTCTCATCCAGGTGGAGAACGGAGCAGAGTACATTCTGGAGACAATAGACTCACTGCAGAAGCACTCGTGGGTAGCTGACATCCAGGGCTGTGTGGATCCTGGGTGAGTATTCTGGCCCCGAGGATGTGGGGTAGACAGGTGGAGGTGTGTCTCGTCCCCTCCTTCCCAGTGACTGGGCTACCAGACAGCAAGTACTAACCTAGAGCCAGCATCAGTTATTCCCAAGATGGGTAGGAGGATCAGGAGCCTCCACTACATAGCTAGCTTGGGCTATCCTGAGCTACATGAGCCCCTTCTAAAAGAAACAAAACAAAACAAAACCTTTAATCCCAGCACTCAGGAGGCAGAGGCAGGCAGATCTCTGTGAGTTCAAGACCAGCCTGATCTCCAGGACAGCCTCCAAAGCCACAGAGAAACCAATCCTGTCTCTAAAAAACCAAAAAACAAGCAAACAACACCCCCAAATAACAACAAAATGGCTAGGCCAGAGCCAGACAGATGGAGGATATCAAGGCCTCCATGGTGTCTAACCCAGGCTTTGTGCATGCTATGCGTGTGCTCTGCCAACCACGCCTTTTATCATAAATAGGATTTGGAGCTGGAGAGAAGGCCCAGCAGTACTATTCCTCCAGGGGATGAGTTCAGTCCCCGGCACCCATGTCAGGCAGGTCACAATGGCCTGTAATTCTAGCTCCAGCGGATCGGCAACCTCTGGTCACTCCCAGCACCTACACCCACACACACCTATCCACCCGTGGGCACACACTTGTACACATCATTTTATAGAAAAGAGTTGGATTTTGATGAGGAAACTGGCAGACTGAGGTCACTTTGGAGTCATGTTTGGTGGTGTGGTTGGCACATCTGGTCAGTTATGGTCAGAAAGGATGACTCCACTGTCCAGAAGAGACACCCCTGGTGGGGCGGGGAGGGGGCATCACCCAGCTGAGTACTTGGCATCGATTTCTCTGGCTAATAGGATGAGGGGTGCTGCTTTCTAATTAACAGATTCATTTAAATAAAGCTCAATTAGAGTCCTGAGTGCCTTAAAGCCGTCATCCCCAAGGTGCATGCCCATCTAATGGCCATCTGCTCCAAAGACTTCCCCTGGGGTCGGACCCTTTTTAGAGCTGGGATGGCCTCAAGGGGCTGCCCAGGCTCCAGTGATCACCACACCATCCCCCACTGGAGAGTGTCCATGGGATCCCAGGAATGAGCCACAACCTCAGGGAACACTATGTTCACGGTGGCCTTGGTGGTGGGTCACTCACACAGTGGCCACAGAGGGTAAGGAAGTGGAAAGGACTCGCTGCTCTTCCAGCAGCCCTAGACCCCTGCCCAGGCCCCATGGTGAGGTGTGCTGTGTCTTCTCTACTCCATAGGGACAGTGAGGAAGACACAGGGCTGTCCTGTGCTCGGGGAGGCTGTCTGGCCAGCCGTGTGACTTCCTGCAGCTGTGAGTTCCTAACAGAAGGTAGGTGGGGGTAGAGCTGGCTGGAGTTGGGGGACAGTGTTGGAGGGCAAATGAGAGATGTGCTTTTCCCATGTGTCCCCTGCAGCAGACATGCCCCGGCCCCCAGAGACAACGACAGCAGTGAGTGCCGTGGTGACAGCCCCACACAGCAGAACTTGTGACACCGTGGGAGAGTCCCTGGCCCATGTTCCCCTGGAGACTTTCCTTCAAACCCTGGAGTCTTCAGGAGGTGGTGTCAGTGACAGCAATAACACAGGTACACCTGGGGTCCCCACCCCTCTATAGGGACCCATGTGGGTCCTCAGAAGTGGTGACATTTCAACCAATTGTGTCTACAGTGGTTCTGGCTTTTACAAGCCAAAATGGGCACCTGGCCTTTCCCACTGTGACTGGTTTTGTTTTGTTTTGTTTGTTTGTTTGTTTTGGTTTTGGTTTTGGTTTTGGTTTTTTGAGACAGGGTTTTTCTGTGATTTTGGAGGCTATCTTGGAACTCACTCTGTAGACCAGGCTGGTCTCGAACTCACAGAGATCCTCCTGCCTCTGCCTCCCGAATGCTGGGATTAAAGGCGTGTGTGACCACCACCCAGCGTGGCTGGTTTTTATAGAGTCTCACAGACATGGGGGAAGAGTCGCACGCCTGTCATCCCAGCACTCAGAAGGCTGGAGCAAAGAGGCTGCCTACGTTCCAGGCTACCTTGGGCTACATAGTGAGACCCAACAAAAATAAGAGAGAGAGACAGACAGACAGACAGACAAAGGGAGGGAAGTAAGTTGTTCATATAGATAGAGGCACAAAAGGCAGAGTTTTTTGTTTGTTTGGTTGGTTGGTTGGTTGGTTTTTGGTTTTTTGAGACAGGGTTTCTCTGTGTTGTTTTGGAGCCTGGCCTGGGACTTGCTCTGTAGACCAGGCTGGTTTCAAACGCACAGAGATCCACCTGCCTCTGCTTCCCGAGTGCTGGGATTAAAGGTGTGTGTCACCAATGCGGGACTCAAAAGGCAGCTTTGGTGGCACAAGCCTGTAACCCAGCACTTAGGTTGTCGAGGCTGGAGCGGTGTCTAGAGAGGTGTGAGAGATGTCTAGAGAGGTGGTGAGTAGTGATTGCTGTTCTTCCAGAGAGTCCATGTAGTGGACTATTAAGTTAACTATGTAAAGGTGTGTTATATTTGTTTATGGTGAATTTGTTTAATCATGTAAATATGTGTTGCTGTTTCACCTTGCCTGCCTAAGGCACCTGATTGGTCTCATAAAAAGCCAAATGGCCAATAGCTAGGCAGGACAGGGATAGGCAGAGAGCAAGTAGAAGAGAGCAAGGAAGAAAGAGGGAGACACCTGGGGCCAACCAGGCAGGCAACTGCCAGACAGACACAGAGTAAGACATAGAGAATGAAAGAAAGATAAAAACACTGAGACAAAGTGTAGACGAAGAGAAATAGGTTAATATAAATTAAAAGAGCTAGCCAGGCCGTAGTGGTGCTCACAGAGAAACCGTATCTAGAGAAACTAAAAACCAAACCAAACCAAACCAAACAAAAAAGAGCTAGCAAGAAACAAGCCTAAACTAAGGCCAAGCATTCATAACTAATAATAAGTCTCCATATCATGATTTGGCAGCTAGTTGGTGGCCCAAGAGAAAGGTGCTACATACCTGAGTTTGGTTCCCAGCACCCATGTAGGACAGCTCACACCTGCCTGTAAATCCAGCTCCAGGGGATCTGATGCCCACTTCTGACCTCTCCCGGCACCCAAATGCATACACAAACACCTACATACACACATAAACAAAAGGACATAACAGAGCCAGGTGGAGAAGAGGCTTGGCTTCTTCCCAGGTTTGTTGCTGACTTGCGAGTGCTCCCTTCCCTCCCTATGCCTCAGTTTACCTCAAGGCTGACTAGACATGGTCAGTCATTTCTCTGCCTAGGTCTGATATTCAAATGGCAGTTTACCCACACAAACAAGATACAGCTCCCCTTCTCTTGTTGACTTAATTTGTCTTCCTTTTGTCCTCCGTGCTATTACAACGAACCCAGGGGATGAAGCAGCTGAGCTAGACACTGATGCTGAGGCTGAGCTGGAACTCTCCGACTACCCCTGGTTCCATGGGACATTGTCCCGAGTGAAGGCTGCTCAGCTGGTGCTGGCTGGTGGGCCCCGGAGCCATGGCCTCTTTGTGATCCGCCAAAGTGAGACTCGACCTGGGGAGTGTGTGCTGACCTTCAACTTCCAGGGCAAGGCCAAGGCAAGTGTGTGTGGCCTGGGGGTGACAGGGGGAGTAGCCTGTTCTGGGGGAGTTGGACTGAGGTAGCCCAGGTCCTAAGGCTCATCACCAGCTCATGACCAAGTCCACTCAAAAAGCAATTCTTGCCGGGCAGTGGTGGCACACACCTTTAGTACCAGCACTCAGGAGGCAGAGGCAGGCAGATCTCTGTGATTCTACAAGAGCTAGCTCCAGGACAGCCCCCAAAGCCACAGAGAAACCCTGTCTCGAAAAACCAAAAAACAAAAAACAAAAACAAACAAACAAACAAAAAAACAGCAAGTCTCTCTGAGAAGTTAGCTTAACAGTCAGATTTACATGCCTGTAGTCCCAGCACTTCAGAAGCTGGGGCAGGAGGATTGTCAGGAGTGAGAAACCAGCTTGGGCTACATAACAAGTCCCTGTCTCAAAAATCTGCCATGAGCAGCCTGTACCTACACTTGCTATCTATCTTACTTTGCTCTGAGGCACCATTGTCTACTAATCCTGATGCTTATAACCTGTATAAAACATCTGTAATGAAGTCTACAACAACAACAACAACAACAAATCTCCACATCAGGACTTGGTGGTGTACATCTGGAAACCCAGCACCCAGGTAGCAGAGGCAGGGGGATCTGGAGTTTAAGGTCATCCTTGGCTACATAGTGAATTCAAGGACAGCCTGTGCTCGTGAGACCCTGTCTCAATAAATAAATGAATAAAGAATTAAGTAAAGGGCCAGCAAGAAGGCTCACCAGTAAAGGCACTTGCAGCCAAGTTTCACTGCCTGAGTTTAATCCCCAGAGCCCACGATGGAAGGAGAGAACTGACTTTTGTAGGTTGTCCTCTGACTTCCAAAATGCAGTGTGACATTTGCACATATGTACACATAAAGATGATGATAGATAGATACATACATACATACATGCATGCATGCAAACATAGATGATAGATGAGTTTTTTAAAAATCAATAAAAATGAAAAAGAGGACAAAGGTCAAGCGGTTTGGGGCATGACAGTGTGGCAGGTGTGGGCAGGGTCACTGTGCCCCTCACACTCACCCCATGTTTCCAATAAGGAAATAGACCCAGCCTTATATCCTTCCAGGGTATCATTTCCCAGCAGCCCCATAGCACCTCAAGTTTCCTGCCCGTGGCCTGCAGCTGAAGGTCATAGCCACCCTCACTTCTGACTGGACCTCCAGCAGCCCTCAGGCCTACTCTTAGCAGTGCTGGCCAGCTGGGTATGTGTGGAGGAGGCTAAGTCTCCCTACCTTGTCAATTCCTCTGACAACCAGGCACTTAATGTCACTCCTGGTGGCTGGTAATTGACATCTTGGCCAGCACTACTAACCATAGAGGGCTTGATCTCAAGCAAACATCCCGAGCTGAGACAGGATGGTGCCCTGTCTACCAGGGCCCATGGAGAGGTAAGCAGGACAGGCATGAGATGACCTTTAACCTGGGCTCTCTTCTAGCCTGGCTGCTATTGTCTCAAAGTGAGCAAAGGAGGCCTGACACCAGAGACCTGTGGTCCAATACTAAAGACTATTGGTCTATGGCTCTTCACACTGAGCCTCCTGCCTCAGGTAAACCCAGGAGATCTAAAGAGGATCATTGCTTAGAGTCACGTGCCATCATTGCACACCGCTGGGTCACCTGAGATCCTCTCTCCAAGCCAAAACAAATATTCAAAAAGACAGATTGATTCCAGTGTGAGGACAGATGTCTGCAGCCCTCAGCCCCAGCCTAGTTCTGTTATGACCATCTCCCGTACCTACCACAGGAGTGACCTACCCCAGATAGGACTCAGGATGAGGACCCCCAACACAACACAGTACCCTAAGGCCTCAGTGTGACTGATGTGTACTCCTCTAACCATTTGGGAAGCAGGTAGCCAGCCCGGGACCCCACTACTGACCATACATCTGTGCCCACAGCACCTTCGCCTGTCTCTGAATGGTCATGGCCAGTGCCATGTCCAGCATCTGTGGTTCCAGTCTGTGTTTGACATGCTTCGACACTTCCACACCCACCCCATACCCCTGGAGTCAGGGGGATCTGCTGGCATCACCCTAAGAAGCTATGTGCGTGCCCAAGGCCGGCCTCCTGGTAAGATGCCACCATCTGGAGCTTGATATGTGGCTCATATATAGAAGGTTTGCCTCGTATGCTCAAGGCCTGGGTTTGATCCCCAGCACTTCATAAACTGGCTGTAATCTCAGTCCTCTGGAGGAGAAAGCAAGAGGATCAGGAGTTCAAAACCATTCTCTGCAACATGGTGATTTAAAGGTCACTGGATATGTTAGACCCAGACTCAAAACCCTTCACCTGGACACACAGACACCTGGGGTGGGTTCTGGAAGCCCTGTAAGGTTAGAGTTCAGCACCAGATTTTGAGGGTACACTGGTGGGGTGCCTAGCTTAGGCTGGAAAGGCATGTCTGCTTGCATACTGTGTCCTGGGTCCCCCTCATCTGGCTGGCTTTGGAGGATGAAGTTCAGGTGCCTAGGGCTAAATGCTGACCAACATGACCTCTCATTACAGACCCAGGACCAGCGCCCAGCACGGTGGCACCAGCCCCCTCCTGCTGGACAGAGCCGGCTGGCCAGCACTACTTCTCCAGCCTGGCCACAGCCACCTGCCCACCCACCTCACCTTCTAATGGCGCTGGAGCATCGTCGTCATCTGGGTCATCATCCTCGGCCACATCCATGCCCCCGCGCCCACTCAGTGTGCGCAGCCGCAGCAACAGCGCAGAGCACCTGCTGGAGGCTGCGTCTGGAGCCACCGAAGAGCCCACGGAGGCCACGCTGGGCCGCGCTCGTGCAGTGGAGAACCAGTACTCCTTTTACTAGCAGCTGAGCCCATTACCCACCGGTGCCATGCTCATCACAGCAGGCCAAGAACACCTGTGGTCTGTCCCGCCCAACAACAGCCTGGCCAGCCCATGATGGTCAAGCAACACCTAGCAGTGGCTGGAGACAGCTAACCATGCTCTATCAAGCCCAAGACAGCTGGCCAGCTAGCAACACTTAACAACTTCAGCTTCAAGGGGCCCACTAAGACCATCTATGGCAGGCCAAGCCTGTCCATGGTTGATCAAACCCATGATTTCAAGCTCCTCCCACTGTTGGTTAGCCACGCCCACCACAGATATGTCTATAAGGCTGATCAAATACACGGCAGGCAGCTCACTGACAACTAACCCCATTTGGTGGTTTCAGGCCCTGGGCACTGATGGTGGTCACTCCCACAGTGACAACCATTGACAGCTCACCTCGCCCATGAAGGCCTACTTACCAATTCCTAACAACCTCAGGCCCAGCCCACCAGAGTTGGGTCACTTGCACCAACAGCCTAACTGGTCAGTGATGGCCAGCCACTCCCATCAAGCCAGGCCTGCCGGTGGTTCCCCAGCCCTGGGCAGCCTGCCACGCCCACCAGCTCCAGCCCAATGCTGGGGGGAAAGCCAAGCTCTTCAGTGAAGACAAACATTATTAAACAGCCTGTTTTAGGGACTACACCCTGCTTTCCTGTTTTCTCTTTGCTATACCATCCATCATCACGGGGAAGGGAGTGGTCTCTCAGGTAGATCTTAGGAGAAGCACTGGATAAAGAGGGTCGGCTGGGGGCAGGGCATGGCCTGGAGAGGGGGCTCAGTGAGTCACTGAGTGCTGTACCTAGCGTGCAGGGTTCCATCCCCAACACCCCATGAACAGGATGTGGTAGTGCATACCTGCAATTCCAGCACTTCCAAGAAGGAAGTACGAAGGTCAGACGTTCAAGGCCACCCTCAGCTAACTAGCAAACTTGAGGCTGGTCCGAGCTACGTGAGTCCCTGTCTCAAAAATGGAGGGCAAGGAGAGAAGACAAGACACCACAGTTGCAGCGATGGATGACTTGAATGCCAAGGTGAGGAGTTGGGTCCTGGTTAGGATAGTAAGGGTGTCATTGGGTAGGTCCACAAAGGCCTTCCAGGGTGGACTGGGTGCTGTGACAGGAATTCCCCACCCTATAGGAGACACTGGGTGTCCTGGCTCTGATGCAGATGATTGAGAAATGACTTAGAGTGACCTCCCGGGTCTACCCACAAGCAGAGCCACAGATGACACCCCCAGCTTGCTCACATAGCCTCCTATGAGAAAGACCCTTGTCCTCCAGAGCCAAGGGTTATGTCTCCTTCCCCAGCCAGACCCACAGACCTTGCAGGCCAGAAATGTACATCACAGATCTCAAACAGCTAAAGACTCCATAGTGGCAGCTGAGGCACCCATAGCTGCTTCCCCATAAGGGGTGCGTGAGTACCCTAGGGTGGCTCCAAGAGTTTTGCTGGTGCAGCTGTCAGGAAATGACAGAGCATACAGCCAAGCACAGACATGGGGTAATGCAAGCACAATGCTGAGTCAGCTTTCAGAGCCTCCATTTGGTTGTGGCTGGAGCCCCATAGTGCTAAGCCAATTGTAAGTCTCCATCTTCCTTGAGAGAAGAAGGGGTCTGGAGCAAATGTAGGGAGAAATGTCATCTTTTCAGAATTGGGACCAAGAATATGAGAGAGAGAGAGAGAGAGAGAGAGAGAGAGAGAGAGAGAGCACCTGCCTTAAAGCAGTGTAGGGCTAGGCTTATAGTTCAGTGGTAGAGCCCCTGCCTAGAATCCCCCAGTGAGGGGCTCGGGTGTGGCTCAGTGGTAGAGCACCTGCCTAGAATTCCCCAGTGAGGGGTTGGGAGTGTGGCTCAGTGGTAGAGCTCCTGCCTAGAATCCCCAGTGAGGGACTGGGGGCGTGACTCAGTAGGGCACTACCATGTACCCCAGCCCTGCAAAAAGAAGAGAATGAGGAGAGAACAAATTGGGCCCTTTTTCCTGTGGCCTTTTTTTTTCTCCAAGATGTATTTTTTTTAAGTGTATGTGGAGGAGGGTATGTTCATATGTGCAGGACCAAAAGATGGCATAAAATCCTCTATGCTAGAAACTGAACTCAGTTCCTCCTCAAGAGCTGGAAGATCTCTCTCCGTCTCTGCAGCCCCCTGTGATGTTCTTGGGTTAAACTGGATCCAGGAATCTATGTGTGGGAGATAATGAGGTGGTCCTCGGCTCTCCCAAAGGTCATAATAGGAATAGTACAAGCAGTACAGGACTCTAATGCAGTGCTACTCGGAGGCCTGTCACTCACGGTGCTGCTTTCTGGGACTACAGTGCTGGCACAGCTGGCAGTAGCATCTCTACGGTGTCTTCGTTTGTCCCTCAATGAGCATTTCAGATCCTGGCTGTGTGCCAGGCAAGGCTCATGGGACAACTGGGCAGACAGCCAGACCCAGCCATTGCAGCGTGGCGGTCAACCACAGAGGGCTAGGCTGAGCCCTGGGACCACATGTGCTCTGCCTAATGGTACTGGGGCTGGGAGGTGAAGGCTGCAAGTTCAAGGGGCAGCAGGTGGAGAGGGCCCTGAATGCCAGGCCAGAGAGTTTGGTTTGAAAGAGAAGGCAGTCAGAGTGTCTGTGCCAATTAGAAATGGGAGCTGATGGCTAGGGAGAGATGTATTTCAGTTGGTAGAGGACTTTGTGTACCACACACAAAGCCTTGGGTCTGGCCACAGCACCATGTACACTGGATGTGGTGGCAAATGCCTGTGATCTTAGCACTTGGAACTGGAGGCAGGAAGATCAGAAGTTCAGGGTTAGCCTTAGCTACATAGTGAGTTTGAGGCCAGCCTGGGCTACTTTAGATATATTGCAGAAAGGGGAGAGTGAGCAAGCAAATGAGGGGCGGGGAAGATAAGTAAGGCATGTATGTAACTGGAACACTCAGGAGTCAAAAAGATCACAGGTTCAAGGCCAGCCTGAGCTACTTATCTAGATGCTATCTCGAAAAGAGGGATGTTGCTTGAGAGATGCCAAGTGCTTAAGAGCACTGGTTGCTTTCCCAGAGGATCCAGGCTTGATTCCAGCACCCGCATAGCAGCTCACAACCATGTGTAATTACAGTTACAGAGGATCCGGTGCCCTCTTCTGGCCTCCTCAGGCACTTCGTGTACATGGCACACAGGTATACATGCAGGCAGAATACACATAAAAATAAATATTTTTAACAGAGAGCCAGACGCAGACAGACAGACGCCGGAGGAGAGCTCTATCAGGGTGGCAAAGGTCTGAGACCCTAGCACTTGGTTGGGAGGTAGAGGCAAAGGGATTGGAGGTTCAAAGTCATCCTTGGCCACACAGCAATTGGAGAGCAGCCTGGGACACAGGAGACCCTAAGTCAAACAATCAAACAAAGAGAACTGGCTCCTGAAAGAAAAAAAAACACAAATGACCAGTAACTTCTTTTTGTTTGTTTGTTTGTTTTTCGAAACAGTGTTTCTCTATGTGTAGCCTTGGATGTCCTGAAACTCACCCTGTAGATCAGGCTGGACTCAAACTCACAGAGATCCACCTGCCTCTGCCTCCCGAATGCTGGGATTAAAGAAGTGCGCCACCAAACGTCGGCTGAGTGGCTATGTTAATCAAGCTGCACGATATTTTTTATTTGCAAGTTCTTTACAATCAAGTGATTTTTATACATAAAAAACAAACGAAGAAGAAAACTGGTGAGAGGTTATGAGGCTCCTGGGAAGGCAGTTATTGCTTAATGGTTCCTGGGCTTCTGCCTGGGGTGATGAAACGGTTTTGAAATGGCCATGGGGACTGTTACACAACATCATAAATGTCATTAATGTCACTGGTTGTACTGTCCTCTTTGTCCCTGGGGACACGTGCCTGAAAACCTCCTGAACCTTGATATAGCACATATTTCCTATGCATACAAATGTACATATGGTAAATTTAACTTATAAATCATGAGTAATGAGGGCTGGCAAGATGGTTCAGCAGGAAAAGGTGCTTGCTGCCAAACCCAACGGCCTGAGTTCTATCCCTGGGACCCACATGGTGGAAGGGGAGAACCGATTCCTGTTATCCTCTGTCCTTTACAGGTTTCCTGTGGCATAAGGCACCCTTCACTCACACACAGAGGCACACAAACTAAATAAATTAAATGTAATAAAAATTTATTTAGGCATAATGAAAGATAAACAGTAATTAATAATAAAATAGAAACATGGTATATTGCTATAATAAAAGTTATTCTCACCAGGCCTTGGTGGTGCACTCCTTTAATCCTAGCACTCAGGAGGCAGAAGCAGGCAGATCTCTGTGAGTCTGAGACCAGCCTGGTCTACAGAGCGAGTTCCAGGACAGGCGCCAAAGCCACAGAGAAACCCTGTCTCAAATGATCAAAATAGAAGTTATTCTCTCTCTGTCTCTGCCTCTCTCTCATTCCCTCTCTGAGACCAGGTTGGTCTTGAACTCACAGAGATTCACCTGCCTCTGCCTTTCAAATGCTAGGATTAAAGGCCTGGCTCAACTCTCCTCTTTTTCATTTTATTTATGTGTGTGTGTGTGTGCATGTGTCTGTGTAAATGTGTGCCTGTAAATTCCTGCAGATGATGGCAGAGGCCAGAGGATGGCATGACAGATCCCTTGGACCTGGAGTTATAAGAATTTGTAAATCATCTGATGCTCCAGTAGGATCTGAACTCAGGTCCTCATACTTGAGCAGCAAGAGATTTTAACCCTTGAGTCATCTCTACTGCACACTTTTCAGTGACTAAAGTGGAACCTAGGAACCGTTATACACTGCAGCTCCAGCTGCTATGGGAAGGCTGAAGCAGTAAATCCGGCACTTTGGGGTTTGGAAGGACTTAGGATCATTCTCAGCTGCGTAGAGAATTTGAGAACAGCCTGGACTTGATGAGAACTGCTCTCAAATAAGCAAACAACAAAGAGCTGGCTGGGAACAAAGAAGGGAGACAATGGATTTTTCTCACTGTAAATAATGCAGTCAAGAAGACAGTTGAAAATGCACACAGTGGCCCAATCAGTACTCTAGGCTAGAGAAGGCTCTCAAGCTCCAGGCTAGCCTGAACTATATATCAAGATCTTGTCTCAATGAAGCCAGGGAGGGAAATAGAGGAGAACACTTTATAATGATAAGTTACAGACCCAAGTCAACAAGTACAGGACTTCACCAAGAGGGCTCTAGGCTGATCTGGCATTACCAGCATCCACCTGGCTTACTTTAAGTACATAAAAGAGTGAAAAAAGGCAAAAGCTAAGCTCGTGTCTCAGCAGTGCAACACCTGCCTAGAATCCCCCAGTGAGGAGCTGGGGTGTGGCCCAGTGATAGAACACCTGCCTAGAATTCCCCAGTGAGGGGTTGGGGTGTGGCTCAGTGGTAGAGGCCCTGCCTAGAATTCCCCAGTGAGAGGCTGGGGTGTGGCTCAGTGGTAGAGCATCTGCCTAGAATCCCCCAGTGAGGGGCTGGGGGTGCGGCTTAGAGACAAGGTGCTTGTGTTCTACTATATGCAAGGTCCTGGGTTCCTTTCCCTGCATTGCAAAGAAAACAGGAGGAAAATGGGCAAAACAGACTCATAGAGTTTGTACGTGGACCACAGTGGACAAGCCAACCCATATGGCCTCTATTTTAGTGCA